TGGGAGCTGTGTTGACGCAGACGATCGACGAGGTCGAACGCGTCATCGCGTACGCGAGCCACGTGCTCACGGACGCGGAAAAGAATATAGCACCACGGAGCTCGAATGCTTAGCGGTCGTTTGGGCAATAAAGAAATTCAGACCATATTTAGAGGAATACCGGTTTACCGTGATTACCGATCACAGCAGCTTAAGGTGGCTACACAACTTGGGCAACCCTACGGGTCGATTTGCACGCTGGACATTAGAGTTATTAAAGTACGACTACGAGATCGTGCACAGAAAGGGAGTTCTACATCATGTTCTTGATGCCTTGTCGCGTATGTACGAGGGGGATTCCGAGACCCCCATGGCGGCCGCGGTAATGAGTGATGGACACGATCCCGAGCAGAATAGCAAGTCAGAGGAAAACGAAACCTCTGACGAATGGTACCGGAAACGTTATCGCGAGGTCTCGAAGAACCCGACACGGTTTCCAACGTGGCGGATTATCGATCATCAATTGTATTTTTTGCGGCCGACTAAGATCGTTTCGGATTTAGTGGAGGATCTCGATCGTTGGAAATTGGTGTTACCGAGCGAATCACGGGGCGAGGCGCTCGAGGAATCCCACGATCATCCTCAAGCGGGCCATTTAGGGATCGAAAAGACATATCATCGTCTCGCGGTCGTTTACTACTGGCCGAATATGTTCCGCGATATCGTCAACTATGTGAGAAGATGCGAGGTCTGTCAACGGACCAAGGTGGACCAGCAGGCCCCTGACAGCCTGATGGGGCGAAGGGTCGTCGAGAAGCCTTGAACAGTGGTCACTGCCGATATTATGGGTCCGTTGCCGCGCAGCCGGGCCGGTTATTCCTATCTTTTAGTGATCTAGGATTTATTTTCGAAATGGATGGAGTGCCGGTCCTTGCGGAGCGCGAACGGAAAGCTCATACGGGCAGCTGTCGGCGACCTTGTAACCGAAGGTTCTGTTGACGGACAACGGTACCGAGTTTGTGAATAAAGAGATCGAGCAATTCGCGAAGGAAAATCGAATCCAACACTACCGTACCGCCGTATCACCCGCAAGCCAACCCGGTCGAGTGGGTGAATAGAATATTAACCTCTTAGGCACGATACGCCACTATAGTGGTTTTCGCGGATGTCATCTTTTTGAACGACGCGCCACTATAGTGGCTTTCACGGATGTCATCTTATATTACGACGCGCCACTATAGTGGCTCACTCGCTCACCGTTTGAATTAACTGATCGTTTTCATATGTCTTGTTTCACACATTTTTTGCTTTCACAACGTTTTATAACAGTGTTAACAATATACAGACAGAATATACAGTCTTTGTTTTTGATACGCCAGTGTCAGGTATGAATTGTTGCTTTTCGTTTAAATAAATATACCATTTGCTTTTTTTAACATGCCGATCCGTATCCTTATAATTTTCCACAAAATCTAAAAAAGCATTACGAAATTGTATGTTCAAAGAACGATGTAAGACGAAGATCGCGCTATGAGTGTGAAAATTGTGACGTGGGTCTATGTATCGTACCGTGCTTTAAAATATATCATACTCAATTGTATTATTAATTATTAAAGTAAATTATTAAAATTAAAGTATATGTATCATATCTTTAAGAAAAATTATAATTTAATCATCAAAAACTTCATTCCAATGTGCTCGCGTAGAGAACAGTATTGTCCGTCACACATTGCAGTGCTGTATCGTTCACGCGTAATTCGCGTCGAACTCTGCCGTACAGAGAAACAGTCCCGCGCAAAATTCAGCCGTGCCTAAGAGGTTAAAGACGATGATCGTGGCCTTCCTCGGAGATGACCACCGCGAATGGGACGCGCATTTTACCGATTTCCATTTCGCGTATAATTCCACGTACCATTCCTCGATAAGAACTTCCCCCGCGTTCCTCAATCCCGGGCGCGAGTTAGAGCCGTCGCGCGCCGTGAGGAGTCGGAGGGAGGGAAATATAGAGATCGAGCAACAAGATCCGGCGGAGTGGTCGGCCCGGATGAGGCGGTTATCGGAACTACGCTCTTGGGTTGCGGAAAACCTCGAGATGGCATACCAACGGCAGTCCGCGCGATATAATTTGAGAAGGCGTCCCGTTACGTATCGGAAGGGGGATTTGGTATGGAAGCGACAACACGTGCTCTGGTCAGCGGCTCATCACACGGCCGCCCCAAGCTAGCGCCCAAGTATGACGGGCCTTTTAAAATCGTTAGAGTGCGGTCGGCGGTGGTGTGTGAGTTCGCGCGTCTTGACGGGAGGCTTATCGGAAAATTCCATGTAAAAGAATTAAAACTTTACGTGGAACCGCTTGTTCACTAGATTTACCGTATCGTATCGCGAAGAGAGAGAAGACGACATGTCGGAAACCCACAGTCGGTGGAAGAGCTTCCGCCGCCGATACCGCGATGTCTTCCGGGCCATCGCGCGGGACCACCCGGGATTCTGGGCGGGAGCCCGCGACGTGTGAGAGACCCATCTGAGAGAGACGACCACCACTCGGGGGGCCGTCGTGCGAGAGATCCCGCCGATGGTGGATGCCTCCACACAGACGGACCCACCAGTCCGGGTCGTGCACTACGTGCAAACCCAGACAGAGCGCTGGTGGGATCTGTGGGAGAACATGCTGGTTCACGCGCGACAGCAGGCCGCCCGGGAGGCGAGGGGAAGCCGCTCGCCGGCCCGACGAGAGTCCAGCCCGAGACCCACGACAGAGCAGACCTCGGGGGTCGCCGGATCGCGACGTGGAACGTCGGAGGCACGGAGGTCGCGGTCACGAGGCAAAGCAAGGGGCTGCTGGAACCGCGGCAGCCCCGGACACCGGTATTCCGTATGCCCTCAGGGTCGCGGGGGCGACTTCTATTATCGGTGCGGGGAGCGAGGCACCACCCTTCGTGACTGCCCGCGTTGCCGGGAGGAGTGGCGGAGGAGCAGTTAGAGGGCCGCCCGGCCGGAAAATGCCGTTCCCGCGTACCGCTCCCGAGAAGAAAGAAGAAAAATTATATATCTGGAATTTTTTCTTTGGTGTCGGGTTTTTTTTTGGTTATTGGGAAAAAGTTTTTTGTTTTTTTTTTTAATAAAGCGAAAAGGGATTTAGAGTCGTGACGCCATTTCTCTTTCCTTCCCCTCCTTTTTGCGCGAACCAAAGAAGGCATGAAGAACCCTGTCGATGGTTCTCTATTCCTCCATCGATTTGCCCGTGCCGAGACTTACGAGGGAGACCGGAATTAAAGCAGGTGGAAGGTCCGCGGCGTGGATATCGTACCAAGACCTTGCAGGTCTTCCCCGGGGAGGGGGGAGTTATGACGTGGCAGCCGCAAGGGCACCCGTCACCAGTATGCGAGACCTCGGGCACGACGCGGGGGACAGAAATTATAGCGCGCTCGATAGGGAGTTCGAGATGACTCCTCGATAAATTCTAATAATTTGAGCGAGAACAATTAATCTTAAGAGCGCGCAGGTGAGACGGTCTCGCGTCCCGCAATTTTGTGCCCCTGAACCTCTCGAACCGACCAGCAGGACAGGAGCAGGAGGAATTTAAAGGACTTCGCTCATCGCCAGGCACGTGTCAATCAGGTGATTGCTCTCGATTATCGTTCTTATTAGAAAAATATATGTCGTTCCGAACGAGATTACCGGTTGTCGTGTTTGTTATCAAGCCACGCTGAAGGAGACGAAAGGAGCGAGGCGGGATACCGTCCAGCACGAACACGACGCGTGGCCCGAAAAACAGCGGCTAGACGGACCCGAAGACAATGCTCGCGGAACAAAGAGCGAGAGAGAGAGAGAGAGAGAGAGAGAGAGAGAGAGAGAGAGAGAGAGAGAGAGAGAGAGAGAGAGAGAGAGAGAGAGAGAGAGAGAGAGAGAGAGAGAGAGAGAGAGAGAGAGAGAGAGAGAGAGAGAGAGAGAGAGAGAGAGCATACGTTACGTGGATCGATAACAGCGATTAACAACGGAAGGATTTCCGACGAGTTAGATGAGAGAGGAACGGAGAGAAAGAGAGAGAGAGAGAGAGGAACCCCTTCCGAAAACGAAGACAAAGGAAGAGAGAGAGAGAGAAAGAGAAATTCCGTTTTTCGCGCTAGACCGAAGCAGATTTCCGCTGTTCGCTCTCGAAAGTAGATTCATTGAAGATTTCGGATTTCGTGGTTCGCTCTCGAGGAGAAAATCGTCTTGGCTCTAAGTCGATAAGATTTGCTTTGTCGCTCTCGGTTTTAAGATTCGATATCGCTCTCTTGAGAAGGTTTTTTCGTATTCCGTCCTCTCGGACAGAACGAAATTAATGTGTACCGTCCGTTACCGAGTAACGACGAGCAAGGATAGTGCCGGCGAAAAAGAAGGATATACCGCGAGTAAACGCCAGAGGTGGCACGGAGTGCAGTGCGCTACCGGACAAGAGGACGAAATCCCAGAGCGCCCGAGGGACCGAGTGATGAGCGCAGAGACGACCGACCAGGACCACGCCGCTGGGAGGTTCCCGTAATTGTAAGACCGTCCGTCTGCTTATTTTCGGTGTTCCGTGCATTTGCGTGTATCGTCCGAAAGTTAGTTTTGTTGCGCCGAGCGGTAGCGAACTTGCGAGTAAGCGGGCGGAGAAAAACTGTACCGTCCCGCGGAGATTCGGAGCGTACCGGCTTCCGACCAGAATAAAGCGAATTTTCGTAGAAGTCGCGCCGTTCTATTTCTTTTCTGTCTTCTCGTTTTCCCGATTCTTGTCCGAACCCATCCCGTCTATCGACTCAAAATTTCCCACGAGCTACGGGTCCCGTCGGACTCCCGCGTCGCGGTCGCGAGTTTGGCGATTAGAGTTGGTGAGCGGTGCGGCTGTCCGCACCTGGCGCACAACACTTCTTTGTTTTCTCGCGTATTGGCGATTGTGGCGTAGTGGGCCGACGGAAATTTGCAGGCGTCAGGAAATAATGTCGCACAGTATATGTTACGTCCAACCAATAAGAAAAAGATTAAAAAATAAAGATAAAAAAATAAGATGTTATGCTTGTTATGCGAGTGTGTTTGTATATACAAAATGTATAAATATGTGCGACGGATTATACCATTTAACTGTGTAATATAGGTTTCCTTACACATTCCTCCGTCTGGATGAACCGTTGCAGTTGCCTTCGCATATAAATGCAGCCTAAAAATCTCTCGAGCGGGCACATGTCCGGGCCCGGCAAGCCGGAGGGATGAGATGATGGACTGCAAAGTACATCCAGCGCCTCGTGCGTAATAAGAGTCGGCACAGCGCCTGCCCAAGACCGTGCTGGCAGTACTCTGGATATGTGACTACCGATTTTGTGATCGGTGGCTTGCGGGCTGTGCAGCGCCGCATGGCTCGGGCTCTGTCCGGGTCTCGCCGGAGAAGGCCTCGGCACGCTCGGGGACCCAGGCCAGTTGGAAGCAGCTGGAGAAGCCATACTCTGAGAAGATGGGAACGGGCTACCATCGATGTGACCTGATACAATCGATATTTCGTTATTTTGATAGTAATCAATCGTAATCATACTACTACTTTAATAGTAATTAATTGTAATCATAAGTGCGCGTTACTATTGAGCAACGAGCGAAAGACAATTGGAAGTAAGAATCTAATATTTGAAGCTTCCGTGACGTCCGTGCCATCTTCTTTTTTTCCCCTTGACTACCCAAATATTTGCAGTGATCTTGTTCTTAGCGTTAAGCATTAGGAATCTAACGATATCGCAGTAAAACATCATATTACCCGTACCTGTTTGCATGAAAGAGCCAGCAGGCGAATGCCCCACTTGGACGTTGCTGCAAGGTCCTGGTGATGACGTCGGCATGAGACCAGCGGGACTAGGAACGTGCATCGGATTCAGAGGACTGTTGGCGACGAGACCCGACCCAGGAGACGGGTGTGGTAGCATGTTTGGTGTATTCGGCGGTAACGACGGTGGTGATGCTAAGTTGAACGAGGTTGCGGGACTACTTCCGAAAGTTTGGTGTTGACTGGCCTAAATCCAAGAAAAAAAGTTAGTATATAAAACGAAGGATCCGCGTATTATTACATTCGATCTTGGCCAGACATTCCACCTGGGATATATTTGCGGTGTGAGGACTGGCCGGTGTGTGAGGGTTGCTGCCGGAGGGCGGTGTGAGCGGCGGGTGAAACCTCAAGCCTTCGCGTTGTTGCGCGGGTGACTGCGGTCCTCTATGATGACCCAAAAAGCCCACGTTTCCACCCCCACCGTCGCTGTCCATAGTGATGGGCGATGGTGGATTGTCGTCCTCCGATTGAGATCTCCTCCTGAACACTGCACTTTCATCGACATACTTGGACAAAAACGCCTGGAATGCCGACACCGATACACGATTATCTCGAATGAATTTATTCGCTTTGAATGCCTTATATGATACTTCATACGTTTAAATAATTATACTTTAGTAATTATACATATATATACTTATATAATAATTACTTACATACTGCATATACATATATAATACATATATAATAATTACTTTATATTCTATTTTTATATAGAGTGTGTTATATGTATACGCAATATTACCTTTAGGCCTTGCGTAGGTGTAAACTCGTCGACGACGTTACTGCGGTCGAAACGACTATAGGCTCCGTCGCGTAAGCTCACCAGACCTCCGCCGCGTAAACGCAATTCCAAGCAATACATTCCTTGATACGCTATTCTTACTAGAGTGACACTTTGTGGCATTATAGTGAAGGTTTGTACTGGAACTTGTGGTCTCTGTAAAAAGCACATTAAGGAGAAAGTGGCGTAAGTTTGAAGTCTCAAAAGAGGCGCACGTATAAAGTGTGCATGCACTCACGTTGCTATACACGCCTAATTGAGGAATCGTTGGCAATTTACTAATCGACGTGAGCGGCTGAAGCGTTTCATGAAGTATATGAATGAGTTGTGCCAAATTCATGTGCCTGTTCAAATGGGCTTCCAGTTGCTCCTTCATTATACTATGCGCGTTAGGTATAGTGTTTGTGGGACCTACGTGTTATATGTTGCAAGTGAGCTTCCCATCGTTACACGCGCCTCAGCGGAACAAACAATCTAGACTGATAGTAATTTATGTAAAAACTCACTCTTTCCGAACAGAAGTCTGAAGGCTTTGTCGTTTATACTCCATTGTACGGTCACAGTTGCACCTTGGTTCGGGCCGTACGCAAGAACTAATTTGCTATAATTGTAAGATTTAATACTAACCATGTTGCGTAAATTATACTTCTCTGGAATGAGAAACAGAAGCTCCGTTGAATTATAAAATTATAAATTATAATATGTATGACGTTTATGTAGTTTCTTATTTCACATTTTGTACATACCCATCTTAAAATATTCAGCTAAATCATGAACAATCGTGTACAAGTGCACTATTTGTGCCCAATCGTTTAGCAAAGTGTCGACAGTACGCGCGACAGTATCGGCTGCGCCCATTTCATATTGAAAATAGATCGGTCTTCGCAAACCTGTAAAGTCCGCATATCAACGCGCACTCAACGATTAGTATATCGCGATGAGGATAAGATACGCGAGATACAATATTTTACATAAACCCGTTACTGATACCTTGTTCTTTAGGATGGCTGCTAGAGAGAGGACTACCGTAAAATACAAACTCTGCTGTCCAGGTTTTCGCCATACCCTTGCCCTGGATTCGGATTGAAACACTGAGAAGCCTTTTCAAGAGGGCATACCAAGCGCTGCTGGTAGCTATACTCGGCGATGGTGCGGGTAATTGAACAAGTTTGAGCACCAATGCTGTAGCGTTCGCTTCGATCTGCAGCCCTTGATGAGCTATTTCCCGCTTGCTCAACTACACATGGTCAATATTAAATAAAGCCGATTCATGAAAGAAGACCTGATGATTGTACATGTCCAAAATTGACGGGAAATCGGCCTCACCTCTTGAGCCAAAGTTACGAATGGTATTCGCTCGTCGCACAGAGCAACGACATGCGCCAACTCCGGAATGAAATAAGCCGGATGCTTTGGTCTCCTGCTCTGCGATGATCCTGCCGCGTCTGTCCTGCCCCCGATCCCCGTGCTTCTACGTTTGTTGTTGCTCGTCATCTCCACCACTTCTGTAATGCACCCCCCATCTTGATCATTATTCCCTAAAAAATCCACCCATTAATCCCCCTAAAAGTAGCAAAACAGTATGCCAGTGCCACACTGAATGTTGCCAGATGTTAATATTAATTTGTATACACGCTCTATACTATGACATACTTGTAACCAATAATCGGGTTTTAGTAAGCGTTAATATAAAAGTTAATGTTAACGGTTCTGTATGACAGATTATATTATATATGTACATATGATAATAACAATAATATTACTATCGGCATTGAGACAACAGCACGACTAATGTGAAAGTAGCCTGTCACTTGTTTATATAGTAGAAACAAATGTATGTTATTACTAGCGGGTGTGGAGAGGATTAAATTTCGTTAGTAAAGAAACATTGCAAGTATAAGACACCACCACAACCAAAATATGTTATAGCATATACTCGATTTTTTCGTCTACATTCTTGTACATTCATGCTGATATAATGATATGTACATATAGGTATAATAAGGAATAAATTAAATTTTATGGATATACATATGCATATCAGTATAAATAATCTAATTAATAATTTAATAATGTGTGACGCGACATTAAATCGATATAACGTTATCGGCTGTTAACACAGTTGTCGAATCAAATATATAAGTTTTTTAAATAAGTTTACAATGAGAGAAAGGGAAAAAAATAAATTATATAAAGAAACTATATTAATATAGCTTTCATTTGTACATGTACAATTTCATATATATGCATATATACACTTTGTGTACTTATCCATGTTATAAAATATATAGAAAACGTATGCATATACTCACCACTGTCGACGCTTGTAAATGGACCATGAGTGATGACGAAAGTATCAAATTCAATGAGGCTTTGGACCTTTAAATACATTTTTGGTATCTCCGTCTCTATATTGTCATCATGTGGATCATCTTCGACGGTACTTGGTTTCACCACCGCGAGATAAAAGGTGCATTCTATCTCACACGGCGAACTTTCTTTCTCTTTGAATGCGACGATCTAGAATGAAGCATATTCACGGCACATGTTGCACTGACTAAATTGTGCAAACGATTACTTGTAACTATCTACATACACACACATACGTACCAGTATGACTGTAGGATGCCTATGTAATTGTACGAACATTCGATGTCTACTAATTTTGGACATGGGGTGATCCGGATGATGCAAAATGGGCAAACGTTCATGAGCAGTTGCTGGTAAATGCTGCAACGTCTTCTCGCAGCGTCTCTGCGTTATCCAAAATCTGTCGCGAAAGAATTTATCAATTAATCCATCTCGGGCATGAGTGTGAGTCCATGAATGTAATCGCGCTTATATTCGTACCTTAATTCCGATATAAGCGTCGGCAGACGCGAATGATCTCCATTCAGAGCCGTTGTTAACTCCGGTACAAGAGGCGCGTCGTATTGAGGGACATGACACTGAAGCATGCCGGTGTGAGTGTCGACTGTAACCAATAGAAGCTCAGCACGCAAGCATGGTTGCAATATTGGTACTGACAAAATTGCAGGAGATCCCGCTAACGTACCTGAAAGCCCGATTATTTAAACGTTATCGTACTCATCTCATTTTACATAAAAGATAAAGGAAAACTGGTTCATCATTATTAGCTTACATTCAACGTCTTTCAGCATCGTCTGCAGCTCTTGTTTCAATTCAGATAAACGACTTCGTGTCCGAATGTAAATTGTATGAACGAGTAAGCACTCCATCGACAATTGGTCCGACCTGATGGCTCTGTGTGCTATTTCACTTTCCTGCATCATGATTAACCGTTCTTATTGTTCAATGCTAACATTATTTCATTCGAAAGAGATGAAATGTACGTTGTTTTACCTTACTACCTAACGATGGAATATGCACAACCGCAAGAGGTCTTGCGGGATCATGTTGGTCTACTTGAACGGTTAATTTGTATCCAAGTTCCGATCGTGGATCTTTGCTTGTTAATTCCCTAAAAGATTGCCAAATATGAATATCACGATTTGAAAAATATCATATCTTTTATATTATATAATCCTTGTTAATTTTTTTTTAATATGACTGATGTCATCAATTGTTATTACCTCCAGTAAGATATGGAGAGACATTTGCCAGCTGTGTAATCATCTACATGAATATGATCATCCAATCTATCTCGAATTAACCTCAACGTTTGAGAATACAAAACTTCCAATTGCAATGACTGGCAAAAGTAATGTAATATATAATATACTTCTGATAATGGGTTAGTGCTTTCAGCTAATCGCGATTGAATAACCTGCGACAGAAGGAAATTTCATTTGTTAAACATCTAACGATGTAATTTACATCTCGTTAACTTTGTTACTGCATAACAATAGTACCTGATGCACATATCGAGATTGTAACGGATGCACTAATGCCTTTCCATCGCCAGTCTCTCTATCCGAAACCAGAATTTCCAATTCTAGCAGTCTCCATGGGACTGTTGGTCCATCACCCATAACTGTAAGAGACACCGAAAATTCTTGCTCAACGAGAAACGTTACTCTCCCTGCTTCAATCTGTACATAATATAACAAATAAACCTGGGTAAAGTATTAAGCGATCGCATAATATAATTTGATAGATTTAATTAGCTTTGTATAATAATATATTTGTTGTCATTATTTATGTTCTTACCTTCAAATTACGCATCTGGGGCAATAAGTTTCCAGTGACCAGTCTATGTTGAATAACTTGATTCAATCTTTGCAATGTGCTTCTCTTCTCTGCATGAGTAATTGGATCTGGTGGCACTATCCTTTCCTGCTCATGTATCATATGAACCAATAATTTTCTCAAATTATATATATAATTTTATAAAAGAAAGCAGTTTTTTTATAAAGTATGCTTACCCGAATGCAGGCTGGCAATCTGCCATATGTCCCGGTAGTAAGTACTTCTACAGCTGCAGGAATATGAAAATTTGGTAATCTGGCATGAACTAAAGTTTCACGAGCCATCCTTGCCAACATGTCTGCAGTATCAACAAAAAGCAACGACTGCTTATCCAAGAATGCCATAATATGCTGAAATGAAAGAAAATAAATTGTTAGATTGCAAAATTTAGCTTTAAAATGTAACTACAGGATGTGTACAAATTTTTCTTACTGCAGATTTATCTACTTTAGATGCACTATTTGCCCATTTTACCAGTGCCAATAAACGGACATATAATTGTCTTGTCCGAGCAGAAAAATTATAAATCTCAATCTTGCGTTCCATATCAGTTTTACGAGGTAATCTAAGCAAGGCATGATATAAAAAATAGATAGTATTGTAAGATGTTAGAGTTGCATAGTTGGACATTATTAACAGTCATATCTTATACTTACAATTCAGCAAGGACAGTAAGCTCATGATATGTTCGTTGTACAATAAAATCTATAAGCATTCCTAAGGAGATGGACCCTCCGCGATTACCTTCCTGTGGTATGTTGTTTGTAACAGGAGTTTGATGACCTTCTAAAGGTACCGGTGCCATTTTGATCTCTTATTTCAATATGTTAATGCTTGACTTTAATGTATATATGTCTGTAATCACATATAATGTATTATAGAATATTATGTGATAAAATTTAGTGAAATCCCTTCCCCAAAATACATTTGAAAAATTATTCCAAATGAAAAAGGTTCTGTAAATCATTGGTTCTATAATAATAATTTATATAACTTTTTTGCTTAAAGTAATCTCTCGAACAAACTGACAAGGTTTGTTGGCTTCATTGCAAAACGACTTGTGTGTAATTTAACACCTACATATTCTATAAAAGATATCTTATAAAGAATATAATATAGAAAAACTACAAGGTAATAATATGTGTATATACATATATATATATATCTACAATATGTATATATACGTAGATATATATCAATAATGCTACAGAAAAGTTTTTACTTACCTTGATTAGTAAATATATATTGTCTAATTAAAGCTCCACAGTAAACTTTCACATTCTAGTTTCGTTCAATAGTTTTAGCAACGCGCAACCGATGTCCATCGACGCCGTAACGTCACAGTTATCCAGAACAAAGAGAATTAACGAGAACGAACATTAGAGATGTAGACCGTGCTGCCATCTAATGGGACTGATCCAATAATGTGTATCTGTTTTATTTTACAATCGACCGATAATCTATTAATATTAATATTTCTTGCGATGATCTTTGCCAGATAATATCTTTATAATTGATATTTGTACACATCCAGCGCTGTCAGTCTTTGTATTACTTCGTCGGTGCTTGTACCGTTTATTTAAACTGGTTTATATAAAATGGTTTGAGTCTCGACTAAAATTTAATTTTTAGCCGAGATTCAAACCATATTTTCTCAATTTTCAAGTAATTTAGCCAAGACTCAAACCACATCATTTACGAGCTCCCATAAAATTTAGTTGAGACTTGACTTACATTTTACTAATCCCTATTATATTTAATCGAGACTCAAACCACATTAGACGAGTTTATTCAAATCAAGAATATAAAAGGTATGGCCCCTGATATTTTGATACTATATATCTAACGTGCTACATATATTTTGCATATATAATAAGAATTATAATAAATTAATTATAAAATATAATAATCAAGATTATGACATCGGGCAAGAGAACAGAACAAACACAACGTTTGAAAACATTTGCTTTATTGTATATTCCTTTCGTCCGCATAGTAGGTACATATTAGCGTCTAAAATGCTCTTTCTTGTAGTTCATTGAAATTCATTCTTGCACTAACTTTTATATTCATATCTCCTACTTCTTTCTCCATAATCCTACTCTCTTACACTCGCTCTTCCCCTTTCACTCATAGATAAATAAATTATGGATTATATAATATGTACAAGATCTTAATAGTTCTCTTTTTCTTACTTTAATAGTCATTTGTCGCTTAATAGACGTATCTTGTAAAGACTCTAGAAATATTGAGCTTGGTCTGGTCAGTATACGTAATATATTCTCGTTAAGTTTTGTCGTTTCAAATTTATATATTTATCTCTTTGTTTATCTCTCTTTCTTTCTCTCTCTCTCTCTCGCTCACTCTCTCGCTTTCTCACTCTCTCTCTCTCTTTCTTTTTTCTAAAATTATTTATTCGTCCATCCTTCGTACAACCGATTAATATCTCCGTTCGTTCGTGGTGCAGCTTTTTAAGAAGATGATTGAATGAATAATTGAGTGGTAAGGAGAAGGGGAACACTCATGAAGAGCAAATCAAAGCTTCTAATTCGCCATTGTACTTTTTACGATGTAAAGAGGCAAGAAATTGTATAAATTTGTCCCTTGCATTGTATATTGAGTTTAAATTATTTTTCTTGCATATCACTCATATCCGACAGAAATAAATTAGTGAAATGTATCGAAGCACTATCACGTTTTGATTGTTCCTCATTGCTATAAATACAATTTACTCTACATTTATCTCTTATATTTCTACCGAAACAGGCTTAACATCCAAAATAAATTTACAATTAAGAAGATACTAAAATTACATTCGATTAATAACCAAGCGACAAAATCCATCGATTTAGGAGAATTGAAAAGAAGAAAAGAGACATATTTTCGATACATCTCACAAGCACAGTTCCTCCGAATGCAAGTGATGGCGCGCAAAAATGATTAATTTATCCCTATATACACTGCAAAATTTAATGCTGCAGGATATATCGTTTCTCTCATGATATAATGCGACCTCAACGACGGTCAGGTGTTTCTAAGCTAGCCCGTTCAAAATTATTTCAAATTAGCTACCAAGCAAAATTTACCGAAGACATTCTCACCTTGGAATAGTAATTATATACCTTTCAGTAGCTCGAGTGATAACTTTGTGTTTAGATAATTAAAGACTCAACTGTGCCAATAACAATAGCAGGTGTGTAGGAAACGGTAAAATAATCGCGAAGAATTTGACATTAATTAAAAAAAGAGATACTGGAACGAATGTAAGAGATATTTATATACATATATATGTATATACCAGTAGCACGATTGTATTCTTGAAGAAATTTGATATCGACTTTACATTTGAGAAAAGATCTCTTATACACACACGTTGCTAACAAAACGGCCGGGTCAATGCACGTACTTCCGACAAAATCGACAGCATGGAGTGTAGTTTGGACATCATCGTTGACATTGTAGCTCAGGTTTCAATTTCCCAAAAAGTTTTCAATTTGTGATTAACAAACTCCCTCCAGATTGCAATCTTGCTGTTGGTACTCTATTCTGAGGTATCTTGTATGTTCAATTAGGATGTTTATATATAAATTCTGCATATTTCAAGTACAATATTTCCTCAGGCACCTGTGAATTATTTACAATTCAACAAATATATATTTGCAAGGAACGAAGCGATTCGAGCTGGTCATCTCCGCGGGGATGAAAATATCTGAGATAAACAGAACAAACAAATGAATTGTATAAACGAAAATTGAAAGAGCGGAAGAGAGATCGAAAATGTATAAAAGTATACACATCTTTCCGTATGTCTCTGCGGCGACGTTGCTACGGGATACAAAAGACGGATTATGAAAGAGAGGGGAAAAGAAAGAGAAACATATTAATCGAAGTGACATTCGATGAAAAACAACAATACGCGATAGTAGTAGTAGTATCAGTAATAGCAGTAATAGCCGTAATAGTAGTAGTAATAATAGTAACAGTAGTAGTAGTAGTAGTGGTGATGGTGGTGGTGGTGGTGGTGGTGGTAATGATGAAGGTAGTACTGTAGTGATAGTGATAGTGATAGTGATAGAAGTAGTAATAGTATTAGTGACAGTGATAGTGACAGTAATAGTGGTAGTAGTAGTGGTTGCGATAGTGGTAGTGGTGGTGGTGGTAGTAGTGATAGTAATAGTAATTTAATAGTACTAGTAATATCAATAGTAGTAGTTGTAATAATGGTGATGGTGATGTGGTGGTAGTGGTGGTGGTGGTGGTGGTGGTGGTGGTGGTAGCGGTAGTAGTAATAATTTAATAGTAATGCCAGTACTAGTAGTAGCAGTAGCAGTAGCGATAGCAGTAGTAGTAGTAGTAGTAGTAGTAGTAGTAGTAGTAGTAGTAGTAGTAGTAGTAGTAGCAGTAGTTTAGTAGTAATGCCAGTATTAATAGTAGTAGTAGTAGTAGTAGTAGTAATAGTAATAGCAACAGCAGCAGTAGTTTAGTAGTAATGTCAGTATTAGTAGTAATGATAGTAGTAGTAATAGTAGTGGTGGTGGTAGCAGTAGTAGTAGTAGTGGTGATAATAGTAATAGTGGTAGTAGTAGTAATAGTAGTAGTGAAAGGTTCTCTGTAACGTTACTCTGTAAAAACTCGCGAAATTCTGTTTTCAACATTGAGATACCGAAAAGAAGTATCCGATATCAACGGCCGCACGTCTGCTCTCTACTAGGCATACCCTGCGACCAGACTACATCATAGTCTCGCTACGACTAGTCATACTATCGAAGTCTAACTGCGAATACGATGGCGGGCGATGATCGTGTTCGCAAAAAGCTGCACTACCGTGCCCAGCCAGCGGATTGCACCAACTGTCGGAGCGTATCGTGTTCGTGAGGTAACACAGTATTTCTAGAATCTCGTTAATGCGCTAGGAACCCGGGCTACCGGCATTGTCGCCGCTCTTTCTCCTCGCCTCGAGCTGCTTCGCCAACAGGGCGACCTCCCAATTGTTGTATCCGTCTTGCCGCACGATTTTATCGTCGTCGTCATCGTCGTCGTCGTCATCGTCATCGTCGTCCTCGTCTTCGTCCTCATCGTCCTCCTCCTCCGCCGCCTCATCGTCCTCCTCGTCGCCCTCGTCGCTATCGCCCTTACGACACTGTCGGACGTCAAATTCCTCATCCGATCTGCTGTCGCTGTTTGACTCCAGGTCGATCGCTACGTCCTCCCGTGATGACAGCAGTCTCTGCGGCACTATCGAGTTCGGCAGTTCCTGCAGCTCTAACGTCTCTCTCTCCGAATGTTCTTCCCACGACCTTCTGCTGCGTGAGCTCGAGCCCAGGGACGAAGATGAGCGGCGATCGTGCGACCGAGTGGTCAGCACGGTGTCCACGGAGCTGTCCCGCATGAAAGGGTGATCCTCACGGTCGTCGTCCAGGTCCTCCTCCAACGAGGCGTCGTGTTCGGTGCTGTCGCCGCCGAAGTCGTCGCCGTCGTGCGACTCCCGTCGCTCCAGTTCCTGGATCCGCGTCTGTAGCTGCGATATTATCTCATCGCGCTTGCGGACCTCCAGCTCCAGAGACGTGAACTGCTGCTCGAACTTAATTTGCATATTCTCCTGCAACGTCAAGGCCAAGTGATTAATCGGCTACAGAGTCGCGTGCACGCTCGTCATTCGGTCATGGGGATCCTACGGCGAGGATATGGCTAGATAATTGATAGCCTTGACGAGCTGTACACACCTGGCCTGGTGTGCGATGCGCAGCTCGCGTCGCTCGACTTTCGCGGAACATGTACGACCGTTGACGGATTTTAATCCGCCGCGGTATCAAGGAAACGCAACATGAATACTAGTTCTCTCTTTTCCTCTTCCTCCTCAGCCCTCACCTTTAACCCTTTCCCTATCCTGTATCATCGAGTAATAATAAACTTCAAATCTGACATCTTATTAGAGTCATCGCGAATTAACTTCGCGCGAAATCGACGTAATTAACATTACGTCACACAGCGCGCGACGTTCATCGCGTTACACTACTCTTCATCGAGAGACTGAGACAGTCGCGGCGTCCTCCCCACTTGTACACGAAGAGCCATAAACTCCTGGCTGTCCCCTCGACCGAGATTCTCGACCTCGCGTTTTTGTACGCACAAGAGGTGGAAAATTCGGCGTCATAATTGCTCGGCCATTACAAGGTGCATCATTATGCATGAAGGTGCATCAGGATGCATGGGAAGATAACTGAACAAAATATGAGTGATAAATAAAAATAATGCACGAATAGTTGAGAAAAAGTTTACTTGCAAAACTATCGTTTTCGATGCAACAAATTTTTCGGTACTCCTCATGAGTTCATGACATTCGTCATTTCGCTCTGCGGAAGCGTGCAATTCTACGCGGCTGAATACGAAAAACAGTGCAAATGTAAAAAAAATATAACAGCGCAGCTATAAAAATAACAAATAAGATAAGAGGAGAGCAGGACAAACATTACGAAAGCTGCGTCAAAACAAAATGTCTTGTACTGCCAATAAATAATCCGCGGGCACTCTGGAGCTGTCCGCGCCTCTCGCACCTCGAGAGCACGAGGGCGAGTAGCCGAGGGTGCGTAATAAAGCGCTCCTTGAGCGACGTGACAGCGAGCGTGCTCGCGAGCGGTCACAAAGCTCGTCCATTGAAAACGGAGACAAAAGGACGAGCGCGGGGTTGAGGATGGATGCTGCGGGGCGCATAGTAGTCGCGGCACTCACCAGGCCCGCCTTAATGACCTCGCTGATTCCTGAGAGCAGTTCGCCCAGGCACTCCTCCTCCCTCGGCCGTGGCACCATTTGCAGGACGCCGACATTGCCCACAGGACGGAAACTGAGTTTATTGGGCGGCGGCAGTGGCGGCTGATCCTGGGGCTCGGACAGCGGGTAGTTGGGCTGCGGGGTGGCCTGCTCGGACGGCGGACTCTGCAGCGTGTATTTGTTGAAGGTTACGCTCTTGGACAGCTTGGAGTGCCGCGCGGCGTAGCCTTCGATCGTCGGCGCTCTCATCAGCCTCTTCAGCTCGGCGGTGGCGGCCTCGCGATCCGGCGTGCTGGTCGCCGAGGTCTCGGAGCTGCCGGTTCGACTGCTGGCCGACAGCTTCTTCAGGATACTCTTCAAGTTCCGCCTTTCCAGCGTCTCGTTCTCCGGCGACAGCTGCTCCACTGACGATATCCTCGCGGATGCTTGCCGATCCTGCGCGAATGCCCAAGGTTATTGTGAGCGAAGAGGAAGGAGATGCGCGTGACCTTGGTCTAGAGATCGAACAAAGATCGCAACTCTGACTTGCGTTTGGTTCACCCGATTTCTTCAGCGAATAGATTTGTTGAATTACAGTGAACATGACAGTGAACGGATCACGCGTGTTTTGACTGGAGAAAATGGAATTCTGTGAATGAAAATAGTCTGAAAAATCTACACTGAGGGGGGAGGGGGAGGGGGGGAGAGAGAGAGAGAGAGAGAGAGAGAGAATATTTAAAAAGTAGAAGATATTTATTCGAAGATTACTAATAACGTATCTCCTTATAATACTTCCGCTTACCTGATTGAACTTGGCCAGCTTCCTGGCGTACTCGATGGCGCAGGCCTCCGAGTGGCTCCTCGTGAGGTTGCCGTCAAACTCGGGCTCAGCGTTCTCGCCGCAGTCGAGGGACGAGCTCCTCACCGCCTTCTCCAGCTCGGCCAACTTCTGCCTCTCGTTGAGGATCTTGAGCTTCTTGACGAACGGCAAGCCGCAGTACTCCGGCGACAGGTCGTCTACGGAAGCGTACATCTTGGTCTGCTGCAGCTTTCTGGTCGGCGGACTCTTCTGCGGCGAGTTATTTTTGATGAGCGAGTTCTTTAGCATCGCCCAAGGCTTCTTGGCGTGCATCAGCGGCGCTCGCGTCTCCGTCTCCGAGGTGATGGTCGCGACGGCTTGGCTACCCGACGACGACTGCTCCTCTTCGATCTGCGAGGTCTCCTCGGGGATCGTGTTCTTCGGCAGCAACGGTTCCTTCGTGAGTGTTTCCTTCTCCGCTTGGGCCTCCTGCTCGTTTTTCGCCTTCAGCAGAAGTATCCTCTGCAAGAACGGCAGGTTCGGGTTGGTAGGGTTCAAGGACTCGGGTGGCGGCGGTTGCGGCTCGGCCGCATGACTCGACATGTCCATCAGGTTCCGCCGCTCCTCCCGCTCCTCCTTCTCCTTCAGCAGCCTGAGCCTAGACAGCAGAGGCAGGCCGGCCCCCAACGGCGACACTGGCGGTTCTTGACTGTTCGGCAGGCAGAGATCCTGACTCTCGTCGATCTTCTGCTGCCTCTTCAGCGTTGGAAACTTGGGCGCCAACGGCTGGAGCTCCAGGCTCTCCTCGGGCCTGGTGTTGCGTCTGCTCTTCCTCAGCACGTTCTTTAGACCCTTCACGTCGCTCTTCAGCTTGTCGACGATCCGCTTGCCGGTGCTGTTGTCGGACGAGTCGTGGCCAGGAGATGTAGGCCGGCGCGCCGCCCGGGCTACCCGCTGCGCCTCCATCAGCCGCTTTCGCCCGAGGTTCTGCAGGATCTCCTGCGCCTCTGGGTAGTCCTTCATCGCGGCCAGAACGTCCTCCCGCGAAAGACTAAATAGCTCGGAGTAACCCACCGAGCGAACGTCGGCTGTGCGTCTGAAAGTCGCAGTTATCCTTATTTCTATTTCCTTCTTTTGTCTTTTTTCTTTTTCTTATTCAGGATATTTCGTGGACGAGCGAAATGTAGCGATGTAGCGTCGAAGCGCAAGAGAAGAGTGGGCGGCGCTCACAGGGTACCTGTGATTTACGTCGCATTTGTTCCGAAGCACGAAAAACCTGACGCGAGAAGAAGAAACTGATCGGGGCGGAAAATTTCATTAATGCAAATGTAAGGACCGGGTTCCTCCGGACTTTGAGCGATCACCGACGCCTTGCCTTTAACGTTCCGGGCACGTACTGCGAGCGAGACAAGGACGGATCGATAGGAGGAGTTTACCTCGCAGTGTATTATCTCCTGACGCCGCTTAATTGCGTTTTCATCAATCGGCGCTGCGATACGTCGGCAACGTGCGAGTGCGCGAGTCGTCTCTTCGTAATCGGCGATTTGCGCGAACGGCAACGTGTTTCGTTTTATCTTTTCTTTTTTCTTGCCGCTCGACGATTGTCTTACGCCACTCGACACACTCTCGACGCGTCTCTTAGCCGGTTGAGGCGCGGATCGATTATGGATCGCACTGCGAGAATACTTGAAAAGAAGAGAGAGGGAAAGAGGGGAGGGGGGAGAGAGAACTGGAATTTTACTCACTTATTCAATCCGTCCAGATTGAGTATACCAATCTCGCCGAAAAAGTCTCCGGCCTTCATTGTCGTAAGAACTCTACCAGTTTCGCTGATCACCTCCAGAATACCGTCGGCTATTATGAACATCTCACGGGCGACCTCGCCCTTCCGACATATCGAATCACCGGGGGTGAAAATGTAGGCCTTCATCTTCAGGACGAGATCGTGCAAAAATTCCGGCTGGCACTCCTGCAAGACAATCAGGGAATATTCGTTCGTGTGACTTACGAGAGCGTGTATATGCCGTATAGCGCGCTGAAGAATTACGAGAAAGAATTATGGATATCCTCGGTTGAGGGAAGGGAGGAAGAAGGTGAGAGAAAACGAGAGTCGAGCTCTCGCACTAAAGAGCAGGGCCGGTTCCTTGGACTCTGTTACATCGGCTTTAGAATTTAAGGACGAAAATTCTGCTCGGTATCGTCGACCTCGTAATCATCTTAAAATTTAAAGCCTCTACATGATCTCCATGCAAAAAAGGATAATTTATGGGGACTTAACGCGCACGCGCGTAAGTTTAAGCGTTAACATTTTTGCTCGACGCGTTCCCTTTTGTTATATCTCCTTTAGCTCGCGTGAATATAATTCTTATCTTTCCTCATAAATCTCCCGTTAATCGTGGAAGAGAGCTTTCTTGCTGCTTTATTGCGATAATGAATGATAAGTGCTTCTCGAGAGCAGCGTGCACTTTTATATTTTACGTACCTGTGTTCTTTTATCAAGCATTACGGTACAACTCGTCGCTTACCGAGAGTCTCTAAAATATACTTGAAAATTGTAGATAAGTAATATTAATCATAATATAAAATTACTAGTAATAAATAATGATAGAAATATCGATATCGAGGCGAGGAACGTTTCTCGAGACGGACCATTATTTTACCTCGACACCGGATAATATCTGACGTAAAACTGAGTAAGACTTAGAGATGTGCGAACTATTCGAATTCGAATCGAATCGAATCTCTATGATTCGAATACGAATAATCCGAAAATTTCGAATCGCGAAGATTCGAATACGAAACAAATACATCAGCGTTTGCGCGCATCAGCTACAAAACTGGCCATCTGGGCCTGTATGTTTGAACCCTTACTCGTAATTAACTTAACTTATAATTAATAACTTAATTATAAATTACTTTAAATATTTAAATATATATTTTATACTTTAAGATGATATTACAATATCCATATTCCCTTTCATATTAAAATCTTCCATCATTATTTGTATGTTTAATAGTCATGTTAAATCTTTTAATGATTCGATTCGATTTCATTCGATTAGATTCGAGTTCGAATTTAAAAAGTGAGATTCGATTCGAGTCGATTCGATATAAACATTCTTGATTCGCACATCTCCAGTGAGACTTCATTTCAAGTAATTAGCCGTGCTTCTGCTGTTGTCACTGTTCGTGTAAGAACTCGCCACCAGCAACCAACGGGAAGATATGGAATACTCGACGTAATCACTGGTAATTAATGCGTGCGTACGCTTATAACAACGACGCGAGAATCGCATCGACACATCTTCGGGCGTCTCGCCGCGCGAACTGGATCATCCGCCACGCCTGTTCCGTGCTGTCGAGCAATGTCGCTCTCGTTCCTCTCGCCCAAGTTCGCGGATTCATAAATCCATAAGTCTATGCCCCCGCGCGCGCCTATCGATCTGGATACTCTAATCTCCGCGAGGTTAAACTTCCGTGAAAGTGCAAAGTTCGTTTATGAAATATTAAGTGCCTCGCACGCTCCACGGGGCTGAATTATATCGCGATGCGACGTCTATTCCAGCGCTCCGGACAAGACATCTCTCGCGTAAGTATTGCGCCTTTCCTGCCCCTCCTGCTGCTGCAGAATCTCGCCGCCGTCTCGCAGTAGCCCGTGATCGACGCGAACTTATTACAGATTACAGCAGATCAGCCGAGGTAACGCGAGGTCAGGAAAAGGGCGAGACGAAAAGCGGAGGTAGGCGGAGCAAGCGGGAGGAAGCAAGGAAGAGCGACGTTTGCGAGATTACGGCCGGAACCTTTAGTCACATCGTAACGCCTGACAGTCGTGAGACGACAGTCGTAATTCTCTCGGTGTGAGATACGACTTCTTTCCCCCGGCCTACCGGGCTCGGTTGGAGTCGGTTCGCCGAGCCCTTTCGCTAATAGAGCCTGCGATCTCCCGGCGCGATATTTCATCCGATCGACAGGGCAGCCCGCCGGCCAATGACGCGCGCGTTTTGCGCGCGGCCGCTTCGATTCGAGAGAGCGGAGCACGGCCGATCGGGGTTGTTATCCGCGATCATCGAGGCTGTCTGATTTTATTCAGGCTCACAATGGACCTCGTTAAAATGCAGTCAGCCCCGGATGCGTGCATCGGCGTGAACACGACGGGGCGACGGGGGTGGAAAAAAATACAGAGTGTCGCGATTTGAATCGACGTGGCAAATTGGAGCATTCTTCGGGACGCGCGTCGGCGTTTCCCCGTGCGAAAATGCCGACACGTCGGCGAACTTCAAATCGCGAGATCGTCGTCTCGCGACAACAACGACAGAAATATGTAAGCGAGACGAAATTGTTACAACTTATTCGTCGAGCGAGATCCGCCGACGTTCATTCTGACGGCGTAAAATCGCAATAATTATATAACGCAAGCGTTGACTTTCAGGGTTGACATAGTTGTTGGCTGAGACTTGCTCAGACTTGAATTTCGAGGCGAATTTTTCGCAGTCGCGAATACATTGTCGCACGATATTGTACGAAGAAGCGATGGCTGTTGTGTCCTCGTTTTACCTAACGGGACCTTCGCTCTAACTTTACTTTGGTTTTGTTTTAACGAGATTTTAATTCGGGTTCTACAGCGCGGAACGTTTAATCATGAAAATTGTAAACTTGTGGCAACAGAGGCGCCTCCTCTTCCCTCCCTCTCTCCCTCTCTCTCTCTCTCTCTCTCTCTCTCCCTCTCTCTCTCTCTTTCTCTTCCTTTTTCTTGCCAAAGAAAGTTTGATTGGGAGCCGATCGGAGAATACGGGCGTGTGTAACAACGGCGAACGGGCCAACTCTCGTACGGGCTTCTCTCGCCGACGTCGAGACATTCGACGGTCATCGTCAAGGGAAAAGCAGAGCTACGTGTCGAGCACGGGCTGGTTGTCACAACTTTAATAACTCGGCCGTTATATGTGCCGCGAGCGAAGTCGTTCTTGCGTAAAAAGCATTTTAAGTAAGTTCTGCGCGCGCGCGCACGTGCACAGTCACACCCTCGTGCGAAAATCCATCCGCCGCTTCGTATTTCTCTCGCGTCCGCGCGCGCAGCCAATATCTCGCGATCCAATTTCGTGTATTTTAATCCCGCGCCATTGCGATGCAAATTACGAGGGCAGTCTGAAAAGTTCTCGGCCTGACACATAGATAGCATTAGAAACTGCCAAACTATAATTGTATTGGAAAGTGGCATCCCTGATATAAACCCATGTAAAGTTTTATTTCGATCTGTCAAGTCATTCGAGTAGTAGCACCAGTTTAATATTGACGTGTCATTGTCTTTTTTAAAATGGAAAAAATTGAATATCGTGCAGTGATTGAATTCTTTGTTTTGGATGGTTTAACACCAACAGAAATTCATCCGAAATTGTTAAAAGTGTATAAGGATGCATCACCTTCACTTTCCACTGTGAAAAAATGGGCTGCTCTTTTTAAATTTGGTCGTACAAGCCTCGAAGATGATCCACGCGAAGGTTGTCGGCAAAAACTGCTACAACACCACAAAACATTCAACAAGTCCATGATATGGTGTTAGATGATCGGCGAGTGAAAATGCGTGAAATAGCTGGGACCATAGGCATCTCAAAAGAACGAATTGGAAATATTTTGCATGAAGAATTACATATGAAAAAGCATTGTGCGAGATGGGTGCCGCATTTGCTAACAATTGACCAAAAACGCATTCGAATGAGTATTTCTCAAGCGTGTTTGGATCGTTTTAAGCAAGACGGAAAATAGATTTCAAGCGTCGTTTCATAACTGTTGATAAAACTTGGATCCACCACTATACACCAGAGCGAAAAGAACAGTCGAAACAATGGATCGAAGCCGGTGGACGTGCACCAAAGGAGGCAAAGACGGTTCCATCAGCAAGAAAGGTTATGGCAACAGTTTTTTGGGATTACAAAGGTGTTTTGTGGATCTATTATCTACAGAAAGATAAAACTATTAACTCTGAATATTATTGTAACCTATTGGATCTATTGGATGCAAAAATTCGTGAGAAAAGACCTGCTTTAAAGAAGAAAAGAATCGTTTTCTATCAAGACAATGCATGTGTTCACACAAGTGTTTTGACAATGGCAAAATTCAATGAATTAAAGCAATTAAACGAATTGCTTGAACATCCAGCATATTCACCAGATTTGGCTCCCTCTGACTATTTATCTGTTTTCCAAACCTGAAAAAATTCCTGGCTGGAAAGCATTTTACATCAAATGACGAAGCTATTGCAGCCGTGGATGGATATTTTGCACACCTTCCGGAATCACACTTCAATAATGGTATTGAATTATTGGAAAAACGTTGGAATAAATGTAATGAAGTTTTAGGAGATCATATTGAAAAGTAAAATATATTTCACGGCAAAAAAAATTTTCTTTCATTGTTAGGCCGATAACTTTTCAGACTGCCTACGTAGCGGCGCCGGCGCGTCGCGCGCGACCGGACATCGCGTAGTCCGCGGCTTTCCACGGGGATGTTTCGCTCTCAGCCGCCGTGACTTATGCCGAAGTCGCGGCGTATCAAGGATACGGGTATCGCCCAGGATATGCGAAACGAATGCACACACGATCTTTTCGTCATTAGCTCTTGGCGTGATCGCAGTCGTCGGCGCGGTATTTTCTCCCCCGGCTCGTGCCTCGCGTTATGCTTCCGCCACGTGTTGACATTTGGCAAACATCGCCCCTTGGCCGGAGGGGAGGGGAGGACTCCGAGGTCCTACGCTGATCCGCCTGGACGGCTCTCACAGAACTTTTGGCAACGAGACGTTTTTGTGTCCGCGAGTTTGCGCGGCATTCCCACTAACTCGACCGCGTCGCCCTCGTCCGGCCGCGACGGCGGATTTTCGACGCGAGAACGCGTCGCTTGTCGAATTATTCGCTCGCATCACGACTTCGACAATAAAATGATGCGCAGTTAGTGTCGATTTTCAGAGCGGTAGCATCC